AATAATAAGCTGTGTTGGAGTGAAATATAAAGAGATAGCTAGAACTGTAGCTTACATCTCTGGATAACATTTATGTGGACAATATCATGCAGACACTATATAGACTTTTATCTAAATAGCAATATTTATTTCCTTGAAAGGGAATACTAATAAAAACAATAAGCCCCATGTTAGGAAATAATATAGTTTAGGGGAAAAAACACCATTGTCCATTTTTGTTCACAAGTACTGTTTTCATTCTGCCATATAAGTGTAAAGCCACTTCAGCAGACCTAATTTTCCAAGCGATAATGCTTAACTGAATCAAAAAATATACTGTACTTTACTAGACAGTATATACACTTTTGTGACATCTGCATTTGTTTCTACTGTGCATCATTTAGTTTGGGGTAACTAGAACTCAGCTGAAGCTGCTCAGTAGTCCCCACAGTGAGCACACTGGCAATAAAGGTGAACATCTGAAGTTAATGTCCAACAGGCAACCCTAGCAATGGCAAGCTTTGTCACTGTTATGGTATTGACTAGAGCATAGGACCTGCACTAGCTGCCTCTGTCTGCTGCTTGGTGAGCTCCCCTGTAGATTTAATGAACCTGTCAGACAATATCAGGTAGGGTCTTGTTCTGTTCACTGTTCACTGTAAATGAAATATGGTCTCACAAAAATAACTACTGCAAATACAAACACATCTGGTAATACCCAATCACATGCATGCTCCTGATGCAAATAATAAAAAATGTGTAAAAAATAGCCCACAATTAAAGGAGAACTATGGGGTTAAGGCTTTTCCCCATAGTTCTCCTTAGGGTAATGGGAGGACACAAACTAGCGTCCTCCTGTCACCCTATGCTCAGTATAACTATGAGGTGAGTGAAAAGCACTCACCTCATAGTTCTCCTTTAATATACTTTTCTACATAATTGGAATTGTATCCTAATGTTTAATATGCCATTTGGAAAGCTACATATTTACTACTTTCTTATTGTTCACCATGAGTTATGTTTGTCTATACCATGTTCAAAAATGGATGTTGAAAAGCCTCCCATGTTAATGATTCTCTCCTTTATAAAAACATTCCTTCTCTCTCCACCCTGTAATATGTGTTATTCCTTTTTTCACAATTGTGTCATCTTTAAATTTTATTTCCCTTACCCCCTCTTCCTAACTCCACAGCTTATATAAATAACCCTCAATTCTGCTCTTTCCTTATTACTGTGCCCATTACCGCTTGCTAATTCTGAACCCACATGCTGACATAACCTCCAGGACACTTGGGCATGTGCCCTCCTATAAATCTTACTACCATTTTACTTCCATAATGGTCCTACTTTACATAACTTCTGGAGATATTTTCCATCCTGGCCATCTGTTATCTAACTTCCATCTTCACACATTGCATCCACCTTATTGTGGCAGGATCCGCAATCTACACATTCTAGTTTCTCCATCAGGAACAGATTGGCTTCAGAAGTGGCTTCAGGATTCTGACTCTTAGCAGATGCCATTTCCCATAGCTGCCTCCACTGGACTCACTTACCCAGACTAAGGGGTCTATTCACTAAATTCTCCAACTCAGCTCACTTTCCAGTTCAGCTATGTTGTCCTAGATTGTTCACTTATCCTGCCTTCTCCAAACTCTTCACACTTTTGTGAATAACCCTGTCAATGTTCCATACACTGGACCAATATCTTAATGTGGATAGACATGACAGATGTGTGCAGACTAATTCCGGGACACATTCCATAGGATAAGTCATTATTATACAACTACTGTGTATAAGGTGTGGATTGCCACATAGATTTGCCAGAAATATCTGGAACAATGTATATTTATGGGAGTTTTTTAAGCTCCGATTTATGGATATATATATTGTCATGCATAACTATGTGGAGAAGTGGTATCTATCACAAGGGGCCCTAAAGTTACTGTTTTAGGGTATTTTAAACTTTTTTAATGGGTTTCAGTTTTGCTTTATAGAGATGGATTAATAACATTGACTATTATCTCACTATAATTGTATTTCAGTGATTAGTCCGGTGACCCTGAAAAGACATAGATGCAAATACAGTGAAAACCAGTCTACAATTCTTTTTTTATATCTAGTGATAGGGTGCATCCAACAACTGTCTACCTTCACCTAACACCTGCACTTTTACTTTCTCCATCAACTCATCTCTACACAGTTACTACGATTTTGTATTGCTTGCATCCACATCTTGGATTCAAGATTTCATGAGAAGGAGCCTCCTAGCCCTCTTATCTTGATTTGTATTGTAACTGTTCTGCACATTACATTTTAAAGTGCTGTTCAAACTGTATATATAATAACGTTATTAATCCTGTATAATAATGAGGATGATGATAATAATAATTATTATAATAATAATGCACCCAAGGGAAGTCACTCTTACAAACTGCCCTCTATCCAGCCCACCACAATACCTAAAAAACAATTAGTGTACAGCCTTAGAAAAACAATTAGTGTACAGGCTAATGGTGCCCATACACCTTACATTTATTTGGAGATTTTTGTCTGCAATTGCATTTTGGGAAGTGCACAACCTCAATTACTGTACATCTCAAGATGAAAAGTGCACATGCTCAAATGAAAAGGTGTTCTTTCGATCGATGAAAATCAGCCAGTTAGTGGTGCTGACAAACCTTAATTGTAAACTACATTGGTCTGTGCATGTTGGGCTTGTTGAACGAAAATTGAAGAGGGGTTAAATGCCTGGACAAAAAAAGTTGTACAATTATTGTAAGGTGTATGGCCACCTTTAGGAGATTTACTAGCATTCACATGCTTCAACTGATTGCTCAACCCCCCCGCCCCCCATTTGTCCCATCCACCTATTAGCTGATGTTTTTTTTTACTGCTGCCTACAGGGATAGCTGGGCACTCAAAATCCTTCAAAACTGCACCCCAGCCCATTGCAGGAGTGCATTCTTGAGGGATTTTGAGTGCCCAGAAAACAGCTGTAAGTAGCTGAGTCACTGATCCCTCATGGAAGCATTGAAAACTGGGACCAAAGTGAGTATTTTTTATCTCTATCTGAAGGTGTTGACCTGTTCACCCTAAAATAAATACTGCTAAATGAGTGTCAACGTGGATCTTTACAATGATTTCAGCTTTTCTCCAGTTCTTCTTTCTTTTCTAGTTTAACTGCATAGCTGACCCTTCTCTCAAGCAACGATCTGCCCTCCTGTGAATGTTATTGTTCCTACCCTTTCTGCACCAAAGTATCTAATACTTTAACATCATCTAAGTTGTAGAACTGATGCTCAATTCTGACAATAATAGACATCCTCCTAATCTATGGAGTGATTTTTTTACAACTTCAACTTTATTTACTTCTCTAACTGCCATTCTAGAAGAGTTAAAGATGTTTTGCATGACGATTAAATTCATGTTAACTAGAATTAATTTTTTTATGGAACCATGATATAGCTATGGGAGGTTAAGCTCTCCAAGTGTGGATTTGTTTAGGAAAGTTCCCATACAGAGCCAACTGCTTAGAAACACGAGCTGCATCAAGTGCCTGAGGCTGGAAATCATGATGGCCTTTAAATCCCTGACATGCTGGATGAAGAAGATGAAATAGTGATCACTGGAGAGAAAGAGAGAGTGTATGCAGCAAACACTTTAATATATGTTTAGTTCTAGTTATTTTTTTGTACTATAAATGCACACCACGCAGAAAGGGTTCTCTTGTCTCTGCAAGGCTGCCCTTTACAATGCGCGACTTGTAGCCAAATGCAGCTTGATATTAGCCTGGAGGACAATTTAACCTCCTGCCAAGGAAGTCAATAGTGCAAAGAACAAATAAAAGAGTTTCTGTATGCTGCATATTGTTCAGTAGTGTATAGTATACAATATAAGCTCATTCCACAACAACAATTTAAAATGTTAGTCATCTTTATAATGTATTGTTAAACTGATTTGTTTTTAGGACTTACTGGTAATCTATATATAGTGCTTAAACAGGTTTTAATTTGTGGGAAGGACATGGTCATTATCAATTTAACCATAAAACAAAAAGAAGATAACTTTGCATTACAAGTACAGTACACATTTTTCTTTTTAAAAGGTATACAAAACTGCATAACCACAATGATTTTTGGAAACTGAGACACTTTAGAAAATCAGTCTTTTGTTAAAAATATTTCACATTGTATATTTCACAGTGTATATTTCAGCGATTCTTTTTTCAGCCAGTGCTTTTCAATAAGTGTCAGAAGATATGGTAACTACACAACTAGTTATTATGTGGACAGAAATATGCCAGTTCATTGTCAATAAATTTAAACAAAGAGAAGCAGTTAAAAAGGTGAGCTCCAAAGTGAACATATCAATACATATTTACATCCAGACATTTTTTTTAAAAGGGGCAACATCAAAACCTACCAAGACTTCTAAGTAGGGGTGACCAATTAAATCTTTTCTTCCCTTTTCTAGAAAAAAAAACAATACCAGCCTTATAATCGTATTCCTATTATTAACTTTGGCAGCAAGCTAGACAAGTAAAATGCTAGCCATGTGGCAACCCTGTCCCCAAAAGATGTTCATATAGCAGTTATTTTTTGGCACATGGAGAAAGAGGACTCCTATTTTAACTGGCCTTTTATTTGATTTTTAAAATTCAAGAGATCTCTTTATCAAACATACAAAAAGCCTAATGTCATAATCCTTTCCTCACCAAAGTTAAAACTCCAAGAAACCTTGCACAATGTGTAAACAATGAAATACCATCGCACAACTCTTTCTTTATCATTAACCTGGGCCTACCAGTGTCTTTGTGCAGCTCTAGATGCATCTTGAGTGAAATAGTTCTATTATATTGTAATTTCTCCATTTAGTCTGCTATATGAATGTAATAAACAGTTAAATAAGGTTTGCTTGGAAAAGAAAATCAATATCGATACATGTTTTAATACATGTTTTTCTCATTCGCAAACTTCAAGAATCATTGTGAATAATTTAATGCTACTCCATTCACTTACCGGCAATGTTTATGAGATGCTGTTAAGGTTTCAATCACAAAACATTCACCATCATTCAAGCAGTAGGCAAGGTCCTTATCTTTGCAAGGTTTAAAGTGCTCAGATCGCTCTGTGAAGTAGGTGGTAGTATCTGGATTGAAAACAAAAATAATAACATATTGGGTTATATAAAGTCTCCACAAATATGGAAGTATGAAACTGAACACATATTCCTAAAGACTGGGTAATTAATTCATCAATGTTTAACAGTATAATGCATATTCCAAAAAGTCAAATACTGTATCTATTACTGAGTTACGGGCAGTCACACATCACTACTTACATCATAGGAATACTTTGATTGAACTAGCTCAGGTTTTTAACACAAGAAAATATACTTCAGTTAGGAGAATTTCCCCACCACTAAAAATGCAACACAGATAACTATAATATGTACCCATTTCACATTCTCTACCTTATGGAAGCATTTCCATTGAGCCCTTGAATAACTCAAAGGGTAAATAACAGAATTTAAAGAATGATGTGAGAGAAAGAAAATGCCTGTTTTATTCTGAATAGAATATAATGTGAATAATACAACACAGCAGGTAACCAAGGAATAGAAATTATGCTGGAACTCTTAGAACTTATGAACTCTGTCATAGCTGCACAATTTGCCCCCTGTAATCATGGCAAAGAAGGTATCATTTGGTTATGCATTATTTTTGTGTCTGCAAAACTGCCACATTGCAGGCTTTAAAGATAATCTAATACAACAGTTATCTAACATGACCTTTTTCAGCAGAAAGGCTGTTAAAATTCATCTGGATAGGTCTGCCTCAAAGGTCATTTCAGATGCATCCATTACAGAAAAAAAAAAAGTTAGAAACAGGATTGCCAGCCTAATTTTGCATTTTTTTATGGAGATAAGGCAA